GATGGTGATGGGGTGCCCAGGCAAAGGGCTCCCCACCCCTCCAACCGGCAATGGGGGGAGCTGGGTCCCATCCTGCCAGAGGTGGGGGCAGACGATGGGGTGACATGGGGCTGTAGCCCTGCAAAGCCAAGATGATCTGACAGACGGGGCATCACAGGCTCTGTCGCTCAGCAAACACATAAAAGCTTCAGAAACCCCCCCAGAGCTGACAAAACCAGGAAACATCAGAATAAACCCAACCTAGCAGGTACAGAAAATTCAGTTACTCCAACAGCCCTAAGACAGCCCCTTTCTTCTTTGCTTGTGTTATAACAACACACACATTTGGGGAAAGAAAACCAACAAATAAATGACGGCAGTAACAGTATGCAGGCAGGAAACAATGCTGGAACAGAAATAACGTATCCCTGAAAAATGGGCTCAAACTCCAGAAGAGGGGGGAAAACCCCTGGTTCACCTTCTGGAGGGATGCAGGACGTCACGTTAATGCGTGGGATGGGAGCTGAATGAGGTAGTCATCAACACCAGTGAGGGAAGCATCACCAATTTTGTTAAAGGACCATTTTTTGTTGGTTCTTTCCCAATTCCTGGCCTGAGCAAGAACAGACTGACTGCGGACCTGACTGGGACCAGCTATGACTTCAGGCAGGATCAATTTGCCCTGAAGAAACAAATGGCTGGAGCTTAATGTCATTTTGAAGATAATAATGACTGGAGCTTCTTTTCTTGTTGAGGTTTTTAATTTAAATAAATCAAAGTAACAAATATTTTATAATGATATGTTGACCTAGAAAGACTATTTCTCTAGAAACCACTAATTTCAACTTGCTGGTACAGCAAACATTGGCAAGAGCTATATATTTTCTCTTCCATAATCAATTTTAAATTCTAGGAAACATTATTTAGGGTAGGAAAATCTGTCTGGCGAAGGGTTAATTATAATAATATACACTAACTGAAATCCTCCTACCTTACTCATACCTCACTGAGGAATTATCACCGCAAGAGAGCCGAGAGCTGTGAAACCCCTTCCCTCTCTCCCTTCTACAAAACGGCTATTAAAGTAGCTCAATTTTTAAATCAATTTTATATGAGTAAATTTGTACCCACACAAAAAGTCCTTAATTATGAGAAAAAATAATGAATTGCTTTAATTTTTTCTCCATTAAGAAGGCACATTAATTGAATTAGTAGCGTTGTTAGGTATCACCTGTCTGCCCCTAAATTAACTCCACTATTGCTCATTCCATACTTGTTTATGATGCAGGGATAGAAAGAAATCAAAACAGGCTAAAATCCATGCCATGACGACATACAAACACACACATACCTGGCATAATCACGAGTGGGAAATGCTGACGTGGAAATGTGTGAGTCTAATTGAGAAGGTAATTTAGATCTCTTAAATAATTCCATCACTTTGACTCGGAAATGATCAGAGATGTTAGATATCTACATCTGGGAACTGGAAAAAAACCAACCCAACCAACTTCTGGAAAAACTTTCCGTGCATTGCCTTGAAATTATGCAAAAGAAATGGAGAAGGGAAAAAATTCAGCACAGTGCATCCGACAATTGCAATCCAGGCAGAATTTTCCCCAAAACGTCTTCCCGTAATGCCCTGTCACTGCCCTGCAAAAGCCAGGGGAGGCTGCGGGCGGCGGTGGGGGCTGGAGGAAGCACTTGCTCCCCTGGGTCTGAAAACTGCAGGTTCCCCAAGGTTTGAGTAAGATGATTGTGATTTTTTTTTTCTTATTTTTTTTTAAGCTTGAAAGCCTTTTGCCATCACTAGACATACAGTAATTTGCAATATCAAATACAATTATAGTACAGATAAGCATGTGACAGCAAAAGGATTCATAAACGCAGGGGTGTCCATAGCAAAATAGCAACATCTGAAAATACAAACAACCTCGTGTTGGGCGAATATTAAAACTCACCGGACCGTCATTCGGAACAGTCGCACACAAGAAATGGCTGCTATTTTGTCTAGACTACAAAACCGCCGGGGTGATGACTGAAGATGTCCGAATAAGGAATTTGCCAGTCAATTCTTTCCAGGAATGGAAATTTCTCTTCATTTTGAGATATAAAAATATATAAACTCCGAGGAGGGGACACCGAGCGCTCCTGAGGACTGGGGGGGGTCTCACCGCTACCCCCCGCCACCCACCGCGTCCCGGCAAAAGCAAAACACCAGCTACTTTGCTCCGGCTGCACACCCCTGCCGCCTGTTGAGACCAGTGGGATTGTCACATTAACAATAGCTTCATTTATAAACAATACATTTAGGGAAAGCTCTTAAATACAGCAATCTGTGAACCATTGGTAAGCAATAAAAAACAATCTGCGCTGGGAGTCGTGCGGTCCCTCATCCTCCTCCTCCTCCACCTTCCTTTCCTCCTCCTCTCTCCGGGTGCCG